TAAATAGATTAAATTAAATAAAAATATTTATTAATTTCAATATTTATTAAACAAACTCTTTATTTTCAGAATATTCTGTATCAACAATATTTTTTTTTTTTTTTTTGGCAAAAGACATCCATACCAACAATATTCTTGTGGGTAACTGGATTATTAATTTTTTTTAGGGGGCAAATTCCTATACCAATTTTTTTGCTTTGTGAGCAAAAGAATGAGGAATATTATAAATTTATATTTTTTTTTTTTGCAAATTCATGAACGTTTCCAATTATGGCGTTGTTGGTAAAAGAATGAGGAATATTATAAAAATATATACAATACCAATGTTAGATTTGTGGGTAATTATTTTCATACAACTTTTTTTGTTAGTAAGTGATTGATGTGATTTACCAGTGATTAGACTGTATGCAATAAACCAGCTATAGATTATAGACATACTTTTTGTTGGTAATTTGTACCAATTTATTGACTTAACTTACTTGAAATGAGCTCCGGTAATACGGTTCTGTCAACAAGTTAGAGACATGTCTTTTGTTGGTAATTTGGATCAATTTGCCAACGTGACTTTGATTCACATTGGTAAATGAATTACTGAACAAGCTTACACCAATAAATGTATTACTGATATGGTTCAAATTGAGAATTGTTTTAACTGATGAGATTCCTTTTGGTTTCCGACATGATTTCTTGTTGGTTATGCCATTCATTCTTGTAGTGTGAATCTCTTCCTGCTACATACCTGGGCTTAGATTTGGGGCTCAGCCCCTTGTGAGATTATAAGTTTGTGAGTAAATTGTTTTTTTGAGGCTATTTCCGAAACACCCTAATTTCCATTTGAAAGCAAAAGGAAAATGAAAATCACTTGCATGGGAAAAATTGTCATTTCAAATAAAGGCCAGTCTTCCCAACATCCTGCTGATTGATTTAGGCATCCATGTGGCACGTGCAACCAATTAAAGACGTGAAATTATTGTTGTTTATTACTTTATGTTTCAAGGGTGAGGTAATTACCAGTTTACCACAATAAAAAATGTCAATATTAATTTTTTATTTTTTAAAATAATAATTAAAAATACAAATTTATTAATTAATTTTAAACTGTGAACTATTACTCCCTTCATGTATTTTTAATAAATTTAGTTTGATCTTTAAAATTTTTAAATATGAATTTTAAATAAAAATTAAATATATTATATAAATGATAATT